GGGAGGTGGGGAGTAGCGCCCTGATGCCGGCAGCAGCCTCGGGTGCGCGGGTCTGCGAGGCAGAGCTGCGGGTTGTCAGCGCCTGAAGTGTCTCTTCTGCGGCTCCGGCCCTTGGAACGCGGCAGGGAATATAAAAGGGCAGCTTAGCTCGGTTTTCCGTGTTTTCGACAGCTGGACATCTCCCCTGTTAAGAAGGAGGATAAGTCGATACGGAGATTAAGGAGTTGGGCGTCATAGTTCCCTAAATTGCAGTCCCTTCCTTAAGTCGCAGACAATCAGGATGCCCCCTGGTCCGATCTTAAGCGTTGCTGTGGGAGCGTGGGTCGCAGAATTAGGGACCAACAGACTGAGAAACAAACCTGCGTGTGAGAAACCACACTGAAACACCTGCCGCTTTGCTCTTTCAGATAAATGACTGCAGCGTCACACGGATCAGTGTACTCTTGTTTGATAACAGATAAAAATCCTTTAGAAGTCATTCTTAACAATTTGGGAAGCTGAACCTGGTGTTAATGTGGATGATTAACCAAACTCTTTGCTCAGCTTTCTGCTGTGGTTTGTGACAAAGTCATGTTCTCATCTGCTGCACTACTGAGAACATGATTTGTGGGGGAAAGATACCCATGTCTTGAGAAAGCTAGAAAGATTTGCAGCAAGAAAAAGGTCTTACGTCCTTTGTATCTTCATTTCTAAGGTAAAAGGAGTTAATGAGCCAGTAAGCAGGTGGTGCCTCATGAAAATAAAGTGGGAAGGTAAAAGAAGGGGAAAAAAATGTTTGATAACACAGCATGTGATCACCTTTTTACATTTCTGTTGGTAGGAAATAATTTTATCCAAGAAACCAGTGAGGTGTTACAAGAAAACGCATGGATATGATGCAAGGAAATAGTAACAACTAATGGGAATTTGTGTTTCTGTTTTTGAGGCAGTGGTAAGATACTGCACTAGGTGGATCACACCTCTCAGCCAGTGTGGCAGTTCCTGTGCTTCTGATAGTCCAGACTAGACAATCTGTAATCTGGAGGAGTGATTCCCAATTTGTGAGCCATTCATTTTTGGTGAGGTCTGAAGTTGGGCTTCAGTGAATCAAGTTTCCCCATAAACTAGTTTAGGCCCTTGCTGAGGCTCCTGGAGTTGGAAATGGCAATGATGAGTGAGTAAAGGGCATTGCTGGAGCTGGAAAGAGCAGTGATGAGAAGGAATGCTTCCCTGGTCCCTGACCCTCCTGCATGTACCTGATGTTTGTCGTCCAGGCAGTGGATGATGAGAACGGCAGGGAGGAAGGAAGCTGTTCAGCTCAGGATGCAGCAGCAGGGCCTGGCCTGGGAGGTTTGAAAGGTCTCAGGAGGCAGCAGAATGAGTGGGGAGATGGGGAGATCAAGGCAGAAATAAAGAAGGAAAAGGCTGTTAGCCATAGTTAGCACAGTTGGAAATCAGTGCTCTGCAGTGACATTAAAACCCTTTTTGGTTTGCTTCAGCCAGAACAAGAGAGTAAAAATGTAGAATATGTTCCAAACCATAAGCCAAGGTTTTCCTGAGTCTTGATAAGAGAGCCTTTTTTTTTTTTTACGGGAGTCTTTTGAGTCTTTAGCAGATTTTTTAATTTTAAGCAGCTTATAGATATTAAAGAAAATCAATGAAATTCTGGATAAATAACTGATACTTTTTCTTTACTTCTTAGATATCCAGGTTATTACAAAAAGATGCAGAGCAGGAATCCCAAATGAGAGCCGAGATTCACAACATGAAGCAAGAACTCTCAACCATTAGTATGATGGATGAGTTTGCTAGATATGCCCGTCTGGAAAGAAAGATTAACAAAATGACTGACAAGCTTAAAACCCATGGTAGACTGCAATGTTTACTCACTCTTCTAGTTTCTGAAAAACATTTTCTCAAGAGTGTTTTCAATTTTAAGTATATTTCTCCTTCAGCTTTCCTCCTTCCCTTCTTATCCATTCCTACTGTTAATTTGTTCTCCCTCCTCCTTCTCTCTCCCTCTCTTCCAGACAATATTTACAACTGGCAGTTTCAGATTTCTTTTAGTAATATAATTCTTAGCCCAGTAATTTCAATTAAACTAAATTTAAGTTGTTTACTTAGCAACCAACATTCTTTCAGAAAACTTTAGGCCACCATTATTTCTGAAGATGTGCTGTCTTCACTGGGCTGCTTCATACTGGTCTGAGGTATTTTAACAGCAGAAAAATATATATGAGAAGTTTTAATACCAAGCCTGACCAAGATTTGCTTAGTGAAGGAATAGTCTTAACTGTGTACTGAAATGAAATAAGGCAAAAAGCGCATCTGCTAAAGTCATCATTCTTCCCTTCCAGGAAAGGGAAAAATGTATACTTCATCTGGAGCAGGTTCTTAAATTAGTAGCCACAATGACTGTTCTCATTTGGGAATAGTGTTCTTGATTATGTGTGGCATTTCTCTGTCTAGCATATTGGTGTCCTGCAGTTTTTCACAATTAGGGTTAATAAGAAACTATGGTGAGATACGAACTTAGCACTTTATTGTAGAAGGGTACTTTCAATATAGCTATGAGTCATTTGAAAGAGATGTTTTTTGAACAGTGTAATGTCCTGATTTGAAGAGTTAAATATTAATACGTTAATAATTTTATGTGCCATTCCCTATTATAAATAATGCAGAGTATTTTTTTTAACAGTGAAAGCACGAACTGCCCAGTTAGCCAAAATCAAGTGGGTTATAAATATTGTGTTCTACATCTTACAAGTAAGTAAATATTTTCTTATGAATATAAAGTACAAAACCAAATACCCAGTAGTGTTAGAATTCTCTCCTGCATTTATTGGCTGATGATTTGTTACACGGGTGTTTGACATTCCAGTGACTCAGCGTATGCCAAACTGAAATAATTTCTTGAAATAGAAGGGAAAGATGTTGCTGATAAGGTCTAGTACTTGTGGATGGAAGGAGTTTTTGAGTTTCACTTCAGCCCTGTGTTTCCGGTTTTAAGGTAACAAGATGACAAGATAGGAGTTTTGTCTTAGCCCTTTCATCATTGTTGCGTTGGGTTTTTTTTTCATTTATATATGGCACTGGACCCAGGAAAGTTCTGATACCTGTAAATATGTTTTGCTTATGTTTTTGGAAACAAAATGTGCTTTTGATGAGAATGTAAATCACCACTTGGAACTGCCACATGTTTCCCCCCAGTGCCTCATTAGACTGTCTTGTAGTTCAGGCTTGATGCCAAGAATTGTCTGCTAATAAGGATGACAGTGCTCAACCTGAAGGTGTCCCGGTAATGTTAAAGTTGGATTCCTAGCAGACAAGGATTATGGTCACAGTCATCAGAATATAACAGTTACTACTACTGTGTTTGTCTCTGCTAGATTGGAACCAGGGTCTCCGAAGAAAGCACTCACTGCTACCTCTTAATATCGTGTACAAATTTAAGGTTGTACCAAGTTTAAACATATTTAGAACTTGCTTAAGACCAATGTAGCAAAACAGAGAAACTGTTCCCTTTGATTAGAGTTTTTATGGCTTCAGAATAGTGGTGGAAATGAACCTTGATGTGTGTTACTAGCCAAGCTAATAAAAATTTCAATTCCAGGCTGCCTTGATGATCTCTCTGATTTGGAAGTACTACTCTGAGCCAGTTACAGTGCTTCCAAGCAAGTGGCTTGCTCCACTGGAGCGCTTGGTAGCCTTTCCTACAGGGGTGGCAGGTAAGGACTGCACCTTAGAAGGATCACCTTTCCCAAGCTGGGGAAGATTTCAAGTTGGAAATATTTTTTTATTAACGACTCCACTGAAATAGTAGAATTGGGTTTAAAAATGGGCAAATACTTAATTGGTCGGTATTGCTTACGTGTGTTTCTTATAAATTGCTGGGGTTTCATAGTAGTGTAACTCCAGAACAATTCAAGTATTTTGTCTCCTGGCATTTTGTCTTGTCTGTTCCCACCCTTTTCCCCATCATACTTCTGTTGCGTTTTTACCTACTTAAATCCTTTTCTTTTGGCCAATATAATGGATTCATGATCAGAACAATATCACAGGTTGCAGACACTTGTTTCTGAGTGAAAAGTGTGCTTGGCTCTAAGCTAACAGTATAAGGAGACAGGCATAATGAGTTAACCATGTAGTATGGAAAATTACCTTCAAGCTAAAATGCTGCTGGTCAATCTTCATTTTAGGCTTGTAAGTCCTAGTTGCCTTAGAAGGAATTCTGAAATACATTGTTGGAATTTTATATTGTTGTATCTTTAAAAGCTGTCTAGAGAGTGATTTGTATCCAGCATCCTTACTGGGCAAGAGAAGGGTCTGCTTTGGTGCAAGGTGGGGGAATAGTCCTTGGAAAACGTTCATTTATGTAGCTGTTGAAGGCATTAAAAAAGTTTCACATTCATGTCTGCCTTCAAATCTCCTTTTTTTTTTCTCTTGGCTGATAATCACAGTAAAGAGATCAGGTTTGAATTCTAGAGGATAAACAGAAAAATGTCTAAAAATGACAAAAAAAGTTGTTTCTTCACATGTGCACTATGAGGAACTATGTATTCTGTGATACTGTGTAGCATGGTTCTCTGTAGTCTGCAATATGGACCTGCTGTGTATTACAGTCAGGGCACACCCTCTATTCCATCATACCAATACTAATCTTTGTGCTGCTAGTTGGAGTAACAGGACCCTGTAAAACACCAGCACAAGGCATCTGGGTTAGTAGTGGAGGTCTCAGTGGTGTTTTTATATATTTCTTTATAGCTATATGGGGAGCAAGGGGAAAGGAGAGAACTTTGAATTCAATACTTTTTAAAAGACTGATGAAAATTTCAGAGTAAATTTACTTTTTACCTCTGTCAAATCTTGAATTTAGGTTCTAGCAAAATGTTCTGTTACTTGCCAAGCCTTTAACTTCAGCACCTTAGACATTTTCTGTTAGATATATAGCAAATATTTTTACCTGTGGGTTGTATATAGGATCAGAGAATGGTTAAGGTTGGAAGGGACCTCAAAGATCATCAGGTTCCAACTGCCCTGCTATGAGGAGGGACATCTCACACTAGACCAGGCTGCACAAGCCTCATCCAACCTGGCCTGGAACACCTCCAGGGAGGGGGCATCCACAACCTCCCTGGGCAACCTATTCCTCTGCCTTACTACCCTCATGGTGAAGAATTTATTCCTGATGTCTAACCTAAATCTCCCCTCTTGCAGTTTAAAACCATTAACCCTTGTCCTGTCACTAGACTCTCTGGTAAAACGTTTCTCCCAGTCTTTCCTGTAGGACCCCTTGAAGTATTGGAAGGTTGCTATAAGGTCTTCCTGAAGCCACAGTTTGGCCCTTTTTTGAGTTATTTGGCACTCTTTTCCCCAGACAATCTTCAGCTATTCTTGGAATGAGCATGGGTTTAGCTGCCATCCCTTGAGATAATCGTAAATAAAAAGAAAGATGTTTTGTGCCTCCTTACCATGTCATAACTTTTACGCTTCTTTTTTTTACACTTCCACAGTTGTTTTCAGAAGTTTGTGTGCTTCAGGGTTATTGATGCAATGACTTAAGTGATGGTTTATATCTCTTTCAGGTGGTGTTGGAATTACCTGTTGGCTTGTGGTTTGTAATAAAGTTGTAGCTATCATGCTGCACCCTTTCAGCTGAAGGTATCCCAGTAATCCATGGAGACCTCAACTACATTTTCATGATCACCATTTTAAGTGAATTTAAAAAAAAAAAAAAGGAACAGTTGTCTTTCATGAGACTAGGTCTGAGATAATCTTTGCTACTTCATTTGGATGTCAGTTAGTATTCATTCAGATTTATTTTATCTTCCCTTTTGTTTTTTCAGTTTGGTGGTCAGTTTTCAAAGAATAACGTTGCTATTTATAGAACCTCATTTTATGTCTATTTTGACCAACATGAACACTGATTGATGGCAGAACCATGTCATGGTATATATTCACCAGAATCAAAAAGTGTTTGATTTGTATTTTTTAATTGGAAGATGGGGGAGATTTGCTGTTTCTTTGCTGTATGTCAGTTTCACCCAAAGGTGGGGTTGTATTTCGTGGCAAGTGGTACTAGAGGACACATCTGCAGAATCATGCCTTAAGAGACTTACTTGCTCAGTTGTCAAATACAGATGGCTGGCTACTTTTTCCCCCCTGACTTTGAAAACTCATTGAACACTTGAATTTTTTCCTACTTTTATTGATAACTGACCTTTCCTTCCTTGTTTTTTTCTGCTTCCCAAGTGAGGATCACTCAAACAATTTCCTTCTGTGTTTGTGAGTAAGGGTCTGATCAGCCTTCTCAAGCTCCCACGTTAAGAAAGTAGAAGACAGTGCAGTTCCTTCAGGGTACTACATTTCCAAGGGCTTTAGCATACATTAATGGCAGTCCAGGATAGCCCGAAACTGCTGTGTAAATGTAAAAACGCAAGTTAGTGATTGAAATATCTAAAGTAGTAACAGAAAGGCAGCAAGCAGAAGGAGAAGGGAAAATAATTTTCTGTTTTGGAGTAAAGCTTTCTTGCTGTATTTGGATACAGGAAATAGCCACGATATTTTGAATTTAAAGGCAGGCAGAATTCTTCCTAATACCATGTCTGTAGCATAGCAACAAAGCTGCATTATCTTCCATGCCACAGTGGTGTCTGCAACCCTGGCATTGCTGTCCTGTAAAACGCATGGGTGGTTTATAAAGTTCTTTTTCCAAACTTACTTTTCTTTTTTTTAAAAAAAACGAGCCAGAGCAAAGCTCTAGAGGACACCTTTCCCTCTTCTGCTGGGCTTTGACAATTCTCGTTCAGCTTCCCCCTGTGTACAGTGGAATGCATCTGGTATGTTATTTCAGGTCCTTTGCCTTCCTGCAGGAAGGAAGGGGTTAGGGGCCCTCCATAATTAGCACTGCATTTAGAAACCAGTTCAAAAGGTCATGAGACATTGTGTGTATGTGTGCATGAATTGCTTGGGGTTTTTTTAATGTTATTTTTTAAAAAAAGTTGTTTTGGGATTATGTTTAGCCAATATGAAGAAAAAATGTGATTGAATGTTATGTATCATGGTGTTTTTATTAATGAAATAAAGCCTTTCCACCCATTTAAAGTTTTCTAATGCATTTTTCAGTGTTAATTCGTTTTCCTAAAAAAACCCTACAAAATAAAAATCCCCCAAACCAACACCCATCCCACCCCCCCACCATGCTCTTGCATAAGGAGATACTGTTGGAATCATTCTGTATTTTTTAAAATGTATTTGTGACAAATTAAACTACAAAATAAAAATCCCCCAAACCCCAAACCAACACCCATCCCACCCCCCACCATGTTCTTGCATAAGGAGATACTGTTGGAATCATTTTGTATTTTTTAAAATGTATTTGTGACAAATTATTTAACTATGACATTGACATTTCTGAATCTAAAGATGCAGCTAGTGATACTTTTACTTAGCTTGTATGGTGCTTAGGACAGTGAAGTCAAGAAAAACGGCATAATTTAAAATCTTCCCAGTGGCTTTTGCTGTTCATCCATACTTGGCATGGGGTCATCAAACACGCATGCTCTAGTGCAACATTTGTGTAAGGGTGAAAGGCTTTTGGTCACCTCCTTAGTGCAAATAGGAGTGTTGGATTATGTCTGCTTGTTTGCCCTTACCTTTGGGACAGCAGTAGAGGCGTTGTATTAAAAGCTAAGAGAGGAGAAAAAACTACTCTTCTGACTAGCCAATTCATGCTTTGGAGCCTGTCCACTATACAGCTTAAGCACTGCTTCGAGAATTTGAAAAGATTTTTAAAAATACACTCTGAGTGCGTTCAGATCTAAATGTCTTAATCACCTTTTGTGGTATAATGTTTCAAAATTTTTAAGTGCTACTGCATTTTAAAATTAATAGAATACCCAGTTTTCCCTAACATCACAATTTAGCAAGCATTTCATGAATTACTATCAGGAACAAAACATAATCCTCCTACCCTTGCTTACATAACCTTAAACACAGGATTTTTAAAGGCTTTTTGAGAACTTGTTATGCCTGACTTCTCGAAAACAATAGTTTACTCTTGCACATTCATCTTTGGATGTCAGCTGTGGAAGTTACCAGGCAAACTGCTTTGATAAGTTCTAACAGTGGAAAAGAATGAAGCTTTAGAGCTTTATAATGCTTGTGCAAACAATGTAATAGCAAATTATTTTTCTTATGTGTGAATTCTGGAAACTTTTCAGGAGTGAAGAAAATAAAAAATTATTTTAATACATTGTTGGTACTGACCCAATAATGAACCTTATGAAAGCAGGTTGCTCAGTTTTGCCAGCTACCAATCAGCTTCAAAACACAAAATGCAGAGAGGGTGCAAAAGGACTAATTTGTTTTATAATTTGTACTAGCTTGGACACATTTTAACAAGTAAAAATGTAGTAATTGTTAAGGCACTCTTAGGAAGATGCACATGCCTGCATACGGAGCAAGAACAGAAAGAAGAATGCACTTCTGTGACAATAGATCTGACCATCATTTTGGAAAAATCATCAAAATAAATTCTCAGTACTTGTAAGATTTAATATGCATTTAATGAAAGTAAAAAAGGTTTAGTTTTTTTTAAATGTTAAAAAATATCCATATTTCTAGAGTAAAAAAAAGTCGATATACTTCACTAAATATCAAATAAAATAATTGGTTTGGGTATTCTTATGGCTATGTCATTAGTGTTAGATGCTTTGCCTTATGAACTAGTTAGTACTGGTGGTTTGAAATTTGTCTTGTGTAATCCTGCATCCTTTCACTTCTCTTTCTTCATTCCTCCCATGTTAGAACTTGAATGGTTGTCTCTTCAAACACAGCCTGGTCCAAAGAGTTCTTTCGTAAGACTGTTTTTCCTATCAGCAAATGTCATCTGAGCACAGACTTCTGCTTCAGTGGAAGTGACGTCCTGCCTTCTTTCGGTAACTTTACCAAAAGATGGTCCATATAAATCAAATGAAGTTTTTGCTTTTGATTGAGCTGTTTCACTGCAGTTCTGACCTGCATGTCTGTTGTTGCAAAGACTGGATTTTGTACTTGATGTAGGAAGCCCATGATGCAAATTCTCAGTGGCTTCTGAGAATATGTATATTTTTTTCAGCCTAGCGTGTGTTTTGTTTCTTGGACCTGGAGTTACACATTTATTCCCTGCCTTCTCACTCTTATTTAGCTGCTCTGGCTTTTCTTTTTCAGATTCTTTTACAGTATCTTTCTCTTGATTGTTCTCTTTTAAGCTGTCTCTTAGAGGAGTTTGTTCAGTTTTCATCAGCTTTTCCAGCTCCTGCTTAAGCAAATCAGTTTCTTTTTCTCTTTCGTTTATAAATTCCAAGAAAGCATGTTCTTCCATCAGCAGTCTGCCCTCCCCAAAATGCCCTAAAATGAAATATTTGGGATTTTAGGAATGTTCTTAAATTGCCTAGAAACATAAAGAGTCATGAAGCATTAATGAGAGCAAGTTTAAGTTCCTTAATTAATTACTTCAGTTGTTATAATTGATAGTATTTCATTCTTGAGTGTTATGGGCAATGCTATTTATGAATAAATATAACAGGATGGGGCAAGATTTAAAGAACAGAATTGTACCATTGAATCCAGGTAAATATTTTTACCTTTTCCAATTATATTTATTTTTATTAAATGAATTAACATGCATGCTGGTGGGAAGGGAGGCCATCCAGAGGGACCTTGACAGGCTTGGGAGCCTGTGGGCCCATGCCAACCTCATGAAGTTCAATAAGGCCAATTGCAAGGTCCTGCACATGGGTTGGGGCAATCGCAAGCACAAATACAGGCTGGGCAGAGAGTGGATTTGGTACAGCCCTGAGCAGAAGGCCTTGAGGGTGCTGGTTAGTGAGAAGCTCAACATGAGCTGGCAATGTGCACTTAACAGCCCAGAAAGCCAAGCATTTCCTGGGCTGCATCAAAAGAATCAGGTCAGGCCAGCAGGTCAAGGGAGGTGATTCTCCCCTCTGCTCTGCTCTCGTGGGGCCTCACCTGGAGTACTGTGTTCAGGTCTGGAGCCCCCAACACAAGAAGGACATGGAGCTGTTGGAGCAAGTCCAGAGGAGGGCCACAAAGATGATCAGAGGGCTGGAGCACCTCTCGTATGAAGACAGGCTGAGAGAGTTGGGGCTAGTGAACCTGGGGAAGAGAAGGCTCCAGGGAGACCTTAGAGTGGCCTTCCAGTATCTGATGGGGCTACAGAAAAGCTGGGGAGGGACTTTTTATAAGGGCATGTAGCAAAAGGAAAAGGTTTTAAACTGGAAGTAGGTAGGTTTAAGTTAGACATTAGAAAGAAATTCTTTAGTGTGGGAGTGGTGAGACACTGGCACAGGTTGCCCAGGGAAGTTGAGAAAGCCCCATCCCTGAAGTGTTCAAGGCCAGACTGGATGGGGCTTTGAGCAACCTGGTCTAGTGGAGATGCTCCTGCCCATTCAGGAGGGGTTGGAACTAGATGATCTTTAAGGTGCCTTCAAAGCCAAACTATTCTATAATTTCATTAAATATAATCAGTAATGTCTAAGTATAGGGCCAGAAAGTAATAATGCAACAAAGAAACCAGATGAGATCTCAACTCTAATTGTAATTTTCTTGCTTTTAAATGGAACCTAAAAGAGATCTGTTTTTCTCTCTTAATTGACA